TAGGTTGGCCATGTTGGCTTAGTGGGAAATGCTTTTCCTATCTTCTTTGAATATCTTACTATTTTTGTATTTTAAGTAGTGTTTCAAAATCACATCATGTGTCCAATAGACTAACAACAGGCAAGCTTTTGCCATCTGCATTACACATTTCTAAGAAAGGGCTGCTACATCGCATGAGATTTCATTGCACAGAAACACCTTCTGGTAAATACACAAGGCATTCATCATCCTCCATTTATAGTTTATTATGTTTTTATTTAATAAGTGTACAATCATTTTGAGACTAACCACATTGCGTAGCAGCCAGTTATCTTCTGGATGTCTACATTAGAATTAGATTTGACTGTGAATGATAGAAAACAAAAATAATACTGGCTGAAACAAATTAGAAATTGATTTTGCTCTCACATAAACACAGGCAGTGCTAGGCTGCCCAGGAGTTCAATCATCAGAGACCAAAGCTCTTTCACTTTTCTGCTCTATTATCCTTAACATACAGGTTTCAGCTCCTAGTTTGAGGTGGCTGCTCCAGCCCCGGCTTCCACATCCTCAGTCCAGTCAGCAGGAGAGAGGAAAAGGGAAAAGAGCACTTTGATGATACTTAAGGTAACTTTTCAGAGGTTGTGTATACACTCCCATTCATCGGCACTTGGTCACATGGACACATTCGCCAAAGGAAGGGTTGGAAATGTAGCCTTTGTACAGGGTGACTATGAGCTCAGCTAAAAATTGGGGTCCTATTTTGGAGAAGAAGGGGTAAATATATATTGAGGACTACCAGCAGTGTGTACTACTTTTTGTCTTACTGTCATTTAACTGTCTCAGGTAACTAGGGTGCAAGACTGAAAAACTGGTAAAATGGTCCTATTGATGGCAAAATTATGCCTTGAGATATTTTTGACCCTTTTTAATGTGTTAGCTAGTTTGAGACTATTTTCAAATTTTAGAAGCCATGTTGACACTATGAATTGACTCCAAAATTAAGAATATATAGAGGGGTGCCTGGGTGGCTCAGTCGGTTAAGCATTTGACTCTTGATTTCAGGCTATCCACTGACAGCACAGAGCCTGCTGGGATTCTCTCTCTCTTTCCCTCTCACTGTGCCCCTCCCTGGCTGACTTCCTCTCTTTCAAAATAAACAAATAAAGATTACATATATACATATAATACATACATGTATATGTATATATACATATATGTATAATGTTGTTGCAAATAACTTTCTCATAAAGGAACAATAAAAATATTAAGTGGCATATGACACAAAATGAACAAGTAGACAAATTGGATTTATCAAACTTAGTAACTTCTGTGTGTCAAAGGACACTATCAACACACCGAGGAGACAACCCATGGAATGGGAGAAAAATATTTACAAATCATATATCTGGAGGAAGGGATTAATATACAGGATATGTAAATAACTCCTTCAACTCAACAACAACAAAAACCAATTTAAAAATAGACAAAAGACATTCATCTAAGGAAAAAGTACAAACGGTCAGTGAACACTCAACATCTCTAATCATTGAGGGAACACAAATCAAAACCACATTATATCTATTAGGATGGCTATTATATATCATACATATATATCATATATGTATATAACATATGATATATATCTCACATATATATATATATACACACACATGTATAACATAAAACAGAAAATAACAAAGGTTGATGAGGATGTGCAGACATTGGAACTTTTGTGCATTGCTGGTGAGACAGTAAAATGGAGCAGTCACTGTGGAAAATGGTGGTTTCTCAAAAAATTAGAATTACCATATGATCCAGCAATTCCACATCTGGCTATATGCCTGAAAGAATTGAAAGCACGGACTTGAAGAGATATTTGTATACCCATGTTCATAGTGGCATTATTTTCAATAGCTAAAAGGTAGAAGCAACCCCAGTGACCACCAATGGATGAATGAATAAACGAAATGTGATAAATTCATATACTGAATATCATTCAGCCTTAAAAAGAAAGGAAATTCTGACACATGTTACAATATGGACAAATCTTGAAGGCTTTATGCTAAGTGAAATAAGCCAGTCACAAAAGGACCAATACTGTTGAACTCAACTGAAACGAAGTGCTTAGAATAGTCACATTCTAAGACAGAAGAGACAGAAAGCAGAATCACACTTAGAAAGGGTTGGGGAGGGGCGCCTGAGTGGCTCAGTCGGTTAAGCGTCCGACTTCGGCTCAGGTCACGATCTCGTGGTCCGTGAGTTCGAGCCCCACGTCGGGCTCTGTGCTGACTGCTCAGAGCCTGGAGCCTGTTTCGGATTCTGTGTCTCCCTCTCTCTCTGACCGTCCCCCGTTCATGCTCTGTCTCTCTCGGTCTCAAAAATAAATAGACGTTAAAAAAATAAAAAAAAAAAAGGGTTGGGGAGGGGGAAATGTGGAATTATTATTTAATGTTTATAAAGTTTCAGTTTGGGAAGATGAAAAGTACTAGAGACGGATGGTGGTGATGGCCACATAACAATGTGGATGGACTTAGTGTGGCTGTACACACTTAAAAGTGATTAAAATGGCAATTTTATGTTATATATATTTTTTGCCACAATAAAGATGGTTAAAGTTTTTTGAAAATATGGGTGTTTTTACGTACATGCCTTTATATAATGCGACTTAAAACCAGTGTCAGAGTTTTTGCCAAGCATCTTGACCTTCTTTCGAAATTATTTTAAAATATTTCAAAAACATACAGAGGCGAAGAGAATAACACATAAAGAACACTTTTGTTCCCTTAACCCATCTTTAAAACACCTCAGTTTAGAAGACTGTTTCTGTGAATGGTTATTCCCTTGCCCCAGTTGTTGCGTACCATTTGTAGGTACCATCCTTACTGGAATGATTTGAAAAGCCAACGATGAACTTTTCATATTTGTGAGTTTTTTTTTATACAGACAAGCGCATCCCAAGCAAAGCCATAGAAAACCTGCCTTATCACAACCTGCAAGAGAAGCAGCACTGTACAGACCACAGGTGGAGACTTTTTCTACAAAGAGCCAGACAATAAATATTTTAGGCTTTGTGGGGCACATTAGGCTTGTTGAATAATCTTGTGTTTTTTTTTTTTTTCTTTTAAAATATCCCTATACATTTTTAAAAACCTTCTTAGCTTGTGAGGACATACCAAAAAGAGCTGCTTCCAGACTTGGCCCAATGGCTGTAATTTGCTGACCCGAGGTAGACCTTTGAGGTCCTTCTGGGTCCAACCCAGAGCAGAGTGGCAGATGTGGGCAGCTATATAATCATGGTCAGCTAATCTTTAGCGAGGTCAGCAACCTCCTTCTGGGCCTAACTCAAACCGGGTAGTTTCAAGTCTGATGATATAAATGCATGTGTATAAAATACCCACTTAAATTTTTTTTTTTATACCATTTTTTTATTGTGGTAAAATCTTACTGTGGTATTTCATGTAAGTGGAATCCAACGGACCTGGCGGGAACTCTGAGAAGGAAGCATTTAGAAGTGAGCAACCTAGGAGAAACAGAGTGGGTGTTAACAGTGAGAAACCGAGAATAGTCTCACTATTCCCATCCTAGCTTTACATACAAGAAATCCCCTTTCCTTGATGAAACTTAAGTGATATGTTCCTTGTAACCAGAAGAAGCTGAGTTACTCTCATTGACTGCAAATGTAAATTGGTACAAACACTTTGGAAGATGGTCTGGGAATATCTAATAATGTTGAATATAAGCAAATCAATGACCCAGCAATTCCATGGTTGGGTATTTTACCTAGAGAAATTCTCGTACGTGTGTACCAGAAGATATGTACACAAGAATGCTCACAGCAGATAATACGTGCCCACAGTAGACTCTTGTTAACCTGGTCAGCTCTGCCACTTACACAGCAGTGTGACCACAGACAAGTTGCTGGTTTCTCTGTCTCTGTGCCCCATTTTCCTCATCTGTAGAACAGGATAATTATTAGCGATCACAAGGTTCTAGGGATTCAGGAAGTTGACTTACATAAAATGCTGGGCACATAGCAAAATACACCGTGGTATATTCATATTACTGAATATTATACAACCTAGCAGTGAAAAGAATGGGTTGGAGCTATACATATATCAACAGGTATATATCTTAGAAACAAGTTTAAAAGAAAGAGGCAGGCACAGAAGAACACAGATAGTATACCCCCATGTTATGAAACAAGCAAAGTTAAGCTTATAATGTAGAGACGTTTACAAAAAGCACACAGAAAAGCAAGGGAACGGGAAGGAAACAAAACTCAGGATAGTGGACAGGGAGATGGGAAACACTTCCAATGACATTTGTAAAGTTCTTCAAGTTTATAAATTGAGTATGGTTTCCTGGGTATTGTTCTTATTACAGCACAAATGTAGAACAGTAAATCCTAGAGAACCAAATCTGAATGTGAAGGTCAATTACACATAAAGATAAAATCTACACGGATGTGAACCGAACTTGTTGAAAGTCAAGAAATAAGAATTAAAGCAAAGGAAATCGTTAACATGCTGTATAGAGACTTCATTAAGGAACTGAATTCGTTGTAGTTGGCTCTAGAAAATACTTTTTTGATGAAAATTTATCAATGCCGGTATACTTCTGAGTAAAATGTTTGTTTTCATAAATTGAATCCATGTGAGCTGGGGGGGGGGGGTGGTCAGAAGAACTAGTTTAAATCATCCCATACATAGTTAACGATACCTTAACAATACAATAAATGTTGAATTTATATAATGAGATTTACAGAGTCACAGGAAAAATAAGAGTTCTGGGTGGGACTTGGGCAGGGAGCAGGTTTTGGGAAATCCTAAATAATCAAATTGTTCAAAGGTAAAATAGTGAGAGAGTAATTCTTCTCTGGAGATAAGAGGGATGGGGGAAATAACCAGGAAATATTGCCATGTTATAAAAAAGAAGAGCGAATTCTATAGTGAAGTGATCATTTGGGGAGTAAGTTTGATTTACTTTCCCCAAGATTTAATTAAGCAGGCATGTAAAGTTTAGGAGTGGACATATCTTTGGACAGCTTCACTTCCAAAAGTCACTGCATACTTAGCTAGCTTCTCAGGTAACAGCAAGTACACTGCCTTCTGGATATCTTCAAGGGTGAGGGTACAGCGATTTCGGAAACACATCACACTGCAGGCTTCCATAGAAATGCGCTCAAAGATGTCGTTGATCAGGGTGTTCATGATGTCCAAGGTGTGAGATGATATGCCCCGCTGGGGAATCACTTCCTTTAGGACCCTGTTTACGTAGAGTGAATAATTTCTACGGCCAAAGTGGGTGCTGGAATGTAATTTCTTTCTGGAGATTGGGCTTTGATGTCCTCTGGAGCACTTGTTCTTTTTGCTGGTGGATCTGGCCATTGCAGATGTTGGTCTCCTTATCAGTTACGAGTGGAGAGGAGAAGGGCCTAAGAGCTGGGGAGAGCTCTCCTATTTATATTGATATGCCACAATCACACTTTTGGGGCTGCTTTTTGATTGGAGGTTACTCTTCCTATGTCACAATCACCTAGCAACAGCCTGATTTGTTGTTAAGGGAAAATCTTGTTCTTGGCCAACCTAAAGCTTTCCTAAGAGGACAGAGTGTTGGAGAAGGATTGAGGTTGGCTTCAGGGCAGAAAAGAGTGCTCCTTTTTCCTACATTTTTTCTTGGCAGTTTACAAGCATAACACAATATTTTCAGAATTGGACAAATCTCATCAAACCAGGGAGTTGGTAGCAGGGAAATAAAGGAAAAAGAACCGTGAGCCTTTTATGGGAGAATCTCTGTAAAAGTTTTCATTAAGTCATTTTATAAGCAAATGAACAATAAGCCATTAGAAACCTTGAAGTGATCATTGTATAATAAAAATATGTATAGCTAATCTGCTTTTAGAAATTAATTTAAAAATGAATCCTAACTAAAATGTATCTGACTCCCAACTCCTTATGAGCAACTAAGTACAAAAGAATTAAACAAAAACTTCCCTATTTTATGATTTAAATTATTATGTGTGAAAATGTGCATTCAATCTTTATAATGATGTTAATAACATTCTTGAAAATTTCACACATTTAAGTACATGCTGTGGTCTTTACCTGATACTGTAGTTCTTCTGTCATTGTTAACCAAAAGTGTAGGGTCACTCTTGTTCATGTGTTCTGCTGATATTTGTGCTTAAAAAAAAAAAAAAAACAAAAAAAAAACTCACCTTCTTAATCAAATTCATTCCTGGATAAAACAAAAAATAAACAGAAGCAACTATAAAAATTGCAACTCACAGGTATTTCAATAGTTCACAACTGCACAACTATTAATGCTACTGTAAAAAATCCTTCACTATAAGCTTCCTCACAGATAAGATAGACTAGGCTATGTGTAATTTCTAGAATGCTATCTGTAATTCCTCACCTTTTTCTGTCATTCAAGAAAGTAGATCTGAAATGAGGTGAGTGGGAATAACGTTATTATAGGCAAAATTAAAAAAAAGAATTTAATGTTTATTTATTTTTGAGAGACAGAGACAGAGCACGAGCCGGGGAGGGGCAGAGAGAGAGGGAGACACAGAATCAGAAGCAGGCTCCAGGCTCTGGGCTGTGAGCACAGAGCCCCACGCGGGGCTCGAACTCATGGAGTGCCAGATCATGACCTGAGCTGAAGTCCGACGCTCGACCTACTGAGCCACCCAGGCATTTAGAGGGAACATTTTGAACAGGTTCTAATTTCTAAAAACAGTGTCATGTCCGTACTTGATTTATTACCAGCAACACACCTCACGCTATGTGTCACACTGAGTAGGAGGCTGCTGCTTCCACGTATGCTTTGTGGTGATGGATCTCTCGTCAGCTCTTGCTCATTTTGCTTTCGGGATTTCCCTAGATATAATTACTTAGTTAGCTTAATGACAGCATAACTTACTTGCTAACATTTAGAAGAAGCTATCAGGTGGAGCGTGTTCACTCCCTATTCTTCACGAATCCATGCTGAAGAGCTCTTACTAGCATAGCGCTCCTGGCCCCTCTGCCCCTCACTTCCATCTCCCTGGGACAACCCTCCTTGGAATCATTGAGTGGGGGAGATGGCAGGCAAGACTATCTCAGCCCCTTCTGGACTCTTGCTGGTTGTGACTGCGGGCAGTGCTGCTCCTGGGGCGAGATCACTCGTACTAGCTGGCTGTAGCTGAGGAGGTCATTTTGCTGAATTCAGAGGTGCTATAAAAGAAAGCTTACTGTTGCCCCATTCAGAAGGGCTATCCTCCAGAAAAGTTCATCAGTAATAAAGGTGACATTTTAATCCCTAGGACCCTCAGTCGGTTCTGCGCCTGCATGAAGAGAAGGAAGGGTGTATTATAGAAGCTAAAAGAAAAAGTCTTTCAAACCAAAACAGGAAGCTGTCTGCTAACAAACTGGTCCATCAGAAAGTTCAGAAAATGGGGAATACTGATTCTATAAAATTTCTGGCTACTTTAGGGTTAACCCGAATTCCCTTTTAAAATTTAATGAATCATTCTAAAATATGTATGACCTCACCACCGATAGGCGAGTTTTTCTTTTCCTTCTCCCTTCCTCCTCCTCCAGACAGTCTGGAACAAGGGACAGACACCTTTTTAGCATAATGACCTTCAGGAGATGCCTGTTGGATGATCAATTTGGACAATGGAGCAAATCTGATTATCTTGCATCTATCTCTGGGAACGAGCACTGGAAAATCCTCATTCTGTCGCCTTCTCCTCTGCCCTCACCCTCAAGGTCTGCACTTAGAACAAAGCCTGATGTCCTTTTGGCAGGAGACCTGGGAGAGTGAAAGGGGTGATGACCAATGTACTGGAGGTCTAGGGTCTGTGGTCTCTGAGCTGCTCAAGTGCAGCTGGAATCCAAAGTTAGGAACCATTTTGTGATTTTTTCCAGGCTCCTGTTTTGTGCTAGATCACAGTGTCTGTTTGGGGCATGGGCTGTATGTCTTCCATGAACGAGCCATGTGGACTTCTGGGGTTACAACTGCTTATTCTTTCACTTATGATTGATGGTCTAGTAATGACTCAAGGTCATCATCAAGACTTGCAGTGATTATTTCACAACAGCTGTGGCAGAGGTGACATTAATTCAAAACGGAAAACATGCAAGACAGGTGTGAGTGTATTCTGGAAACATTTTACATCCACTGTATTAGTTTCCTATTGCTGCTGTAACAAACCACCACAAATTTAGCAGCTTAAAATAACAACACAAATTATCTTACTATTCTGGTGGTGGTATCAGTCTGAACAGGCCTCACGGGGCTATAGTCAAGGTATCAACAGGGTTGTGTTCCTTCTAAAAGCTCTAAGGGAAAAATCTGTTTTCTTGCCCTTTCCAGCTTCTGTAGACGTGTTTCTTGGCTTTTCCTCTAACTTCAAAGCCAGTAACAGATGGTCAAGTTATTCTCATGCTGTATCAGTGACACAGATAACTGAGACTCCTGACTCCCTCTTTCACTCATAAGGACCCTTGTGATTACATTGGGTCCACCTAGATAATCCAGGATATTCTCCACATCTCAAGACCCTTAATTTCATCTGCACATTCCATTCTGCTAGGTAAGGTAACATATTCAAAGGTTGGGGTTTGGGGATATGCGCAGCTTTGAGAGGCATTATTAAGGCATTATTATGCCCACCATATAGCCACCATAAACAGAATGAGAATGTCAAAGAAGATTTGGGTCACCAACTGCACAGAAATTGGGGATGAATGATAATGTCCTTAGTAGATCGCCAAAAATATATTTTAAAAATACTTTCCATATATGGGCTAGCTTTCATGTAATTTACTTTTTTTTCTAAAAATGGAAAGTTGTCTTCTATTTTTACTTTGTGTGCTTTGCCTCTACCTTATAGTCCCCAAAGTATGCTAAATAAAATCAATTTTATCCTTGGAAGCCGGAGGCTGACAGTACAGGGAGACAGATTTTTCTTTCCACTGTCATTCTCAAATTCCCTTCTCAATCTCTTCCCTCCTGCCTGCTCTCTCGCAAGGATCTCTGGATGACAACCATGTGCTAAGCACTGCATAAGTTACACCGTGGGGACACAGAGATGAAGAAGATACAGTTCCTACTCTTAAGGAATTCAGAGCTTATTGAGGTAGACAGACATGAAAGTAAGAAGTTACTATGAACAGGGACATTAAGGCTATGACAGAGCATACACAGGGCATAGTAGGAACATAGGGTGGTACCTAGATCACTAAGCCTCCCAGGGCAGCCTTCTTGGAGGAGGTGATGTTTTAGTTGAATCTTGATGGATAATAGAAGTTATTCAGGCAGATAAGCGTGGGGATAAAGGGGTGCAGAGGAGAATCCAGGTTTCAGTTAAGGCTGTTTATTCTCAAGCTTGGATGCACACTGAAGTCACCTAGGGAGATTATGACAAACGTGCCAATCGTTCCAGGGCTAGACCCCAGACTGACTGAATCAGCCTCTGCAGTGGGTGAAGTTCAGGCATTTTTTTCTTTTAAGTTCTTTTAATGTGCAGCCAGGATTGAAAGTCATTGGTTGAGCTAAGATAGAGCAAAATATTTGAAGGTGTTGGGAAGCGTTTGTAGACACTGGAATGGGAGTTATAAGGGAAAGGGTTAAGAGGGAGGGGAGCAAAAAGAAGGGGAGCTCAGTTTTCCCAATACCACTCATTGAAGAGACTATCTTTTCCCCATTGTATATTTCCGTCTCCTTTCTCATAGGTTAATCGGCCATAATGGTTCATTTTTGGGCTTCCAATTCCATTTCATTGATTGGTGTACTCTTTTGTGTGCCAGTAACATACTGTTTTGATTACTACAGCTTTGGAGTATATTTTAGAATCTGGGATTGTGATACATCCAGCTTTGTTCTTCTTTCTCAAGCTCTGGCTGTTCAAGGTCTTTGTGGTTCCATACAGATTTTTTAATTTTTTTGTTCTAGTTCTGTGAAAGATACTATCAGTATTTTGATAGGGATTGCATTGAATCTGTAGATTGCTTTGGGAGTGTGGGCATTTTAACCATATTAATTCTTTCAACCCATGAACACTGGCCAGCTACACGCAAAAGAAAGACATTGGACCACTATCTTATACCATGCACAAAAATAAAATCAAAATAGATTAAAGATCTAAATGTAAGATCTGACAGAATAAAACTCCTAAACGAAAATAGACAGTAGTCTCTCAGAAATCAACCTTAGCAATATTTTTCTGGATAAGTGACCCTAGGCAAGGGAAACAAAAGCAACACAAAACAATTAGGACTGTATCAAACTAAAAAGCTTTTGCACAGTGAAAGGAAGTTGTCAATAAAATGAAAAGGGAACTTACCGAATGGGAGAAGATATTTGCAAGTGATGTATCTGATAGTACATCATATCCAAA